AGTAATTGCTCTGAGCTTCAGCGTCCTCGTCCCAGACATGGGAATAAGAATGTGTATGAAGCCCGGCCGGTATAGCTCAGTGGCTGAGCATCAACCTATGAACCAGGAGGTCACAGTTCGATTCCGGTCAGGGCACAGGCCCGGGTTGTGGGCTCCATCCCCAGTGTGGGGCGTGCAGGAGGCAGCCGATCCATGATTCTCTCTCATCATTGATGTGTCTATTTCTCTCTTCCTCTCCCTTCCTCTCTGAAATCAATAAAAATATGTTTTTTTGAAGAATGAGTATGAAATGAGATAACCGTGTACGATAGCAGTGTGAGTACTGCAAAGTGATGTACAAACAGCGCTCACCAATACGCCCGCCCCATCTGTACTGAACACTCGCATTCTCCCGGGACGTCTCAACGTTTACACGGTTCAAAGTAGGAGGCCACGCTGCTGCCTCTGGATCCTTGTGTTCACGAAAGCCTCGCAGCGTTATCGCGGGCTGCAGGCCCTCTCCCTCCCGCGCAGCAGCGAGCTCATTAATTCTTCATGGGCAACCACTTGTGTTTATTGAGCAGAAAATGTTCCAACAAAGTTCAACCTCCGACTAAAAGGAACCTCATTTCACCTTATTAAAATTTCATTTCTATTTGGTCTTGCATAGCTGAGAAGAAAAACAAGTTTCAACTGAAGCCATTTTAGAAAAATAAGTGGCAACTACCTCATTTCAGATCATGAAATCTTTCTTTTAAAAACACGACCCAATAAGCTTTTTAATAAATTATACTGCTTTAAAGCACTACAGTAACTCACAGTTTTAAAGAGAACACTAGTGGTTTCTTATGGAAAGGAGGCACCCGGGACATAATTCCACTTGTGAGCCCATGCCCTGCACACCAAGGGACAGGTTCAGGGATGTTTGTAACCTTTTCTTCCTTTTTTAATTTTTAAGAATTATCTGAAAAATGAGTAGACAAACTGGAATATATACATATAATGGAACATGAACCCAAAGAAAACATGACTGAACCACAGCTACAAAAATTAAGATAGGTAAGCTTCGTGACATGATGTTGAAAAGTAAGCCAGATGCGCACAGTATGACAGCATCTCACAGGACCCTGTCCGGCTGTCTTTACACAACAGGTCCAGAGGTTTTTTAAAATCTCAAGATCAAAAAAAAAAAATCTCAAGATCAACACTGTCTGGGCCTACTTGTGCACAGCCAAGCTCTGGAGCTCCACTCCCCTGCAGAGCACCACTCCCTGCTACACCTGGTCCTCAGCACACTGCCCCCCACACCTGGCCCTCAGCACACTCCCCATCACACCTGGTCCTCAGCACACTGCCCCCCACACCTGGCCCTCAGCCCACTCCCCCCCCACACCTGGCCCTCAGCCCACTCCCCCCCCACACCTGGCCCTCAGCCCACTCCCCCCCCACACCTGGCCCTCAGCCCACTCCCCCCCCACACCTGGCCCTCAGCCCACTCCCCCCCCACACCTGGCCCTCAGCCCACTCCCCCCCCACACCTGGCCCTCAGCCCACTCCCCCCCCACACCTGGCCCTCAGCCCACTCCCCCCCCACACCTGGCCCTCAGCCCACTCCCCCCCCACACCTGGCCCTCAGCCCACTCCCCCCCCACACCTGGCCCTCAGCCCACTCCCCCCCCACACCTGGCCCTCAGCCCACTCCCCCCCCACACCTGGCCCTCAGCCCACTCCCCCCCCACACCTGGCCCTCAGCCCACTCCCCCCCCACACCTGGCCCTCAGCCCACTCCCCCCCCACACCTGGCCCTCAGCCCACTCCCCCCCCACACCTGGCCCTCAGCCCACTCCCCCCCCACACCTGGCCCTCAGCCCACTCCCCCCCCACACCTGGCCCTCAGCACACTCCCCCCACACCTGGCCCACAGTCACTCTCACTGTCAAGAAGGCCCAGCCATAGCCCCTGACTACACAACACCCCGCACACCCAAGTAAGTGCCTCAAGGAACAGATGGTCCCTCAGCCCAGTGTGATGTCACCCACGCGGCGTCAGAATTCCCGCCCCTGCCCGTGCTGCTGGGACTCTCCTCACGCCTCCCCCGCAGAGCGTGTCACGTGCTATGCGCAGAGTCCGGGGTCGGTGTCCCCTCCCCGCGGAAGGGCCTCCGCTGCAGGACTACATCATCACATCGGCTCCTTTGCACACCCAGGCCGGGAGCACGGAGGCCCGGAACGCCTGCTCCCTCTGCCGCGCTCTTCTTCCTATGCAGCCAGTGAGCGCTGAAGCCTTTCCAGGCACAGCCGCAGTGCAGGCAGGAGGCAGCTCTCACAGGAGGGACCAGTGCGCCCCCTGCAGGCCCTGCAGGAGCTCCTTACATCAGGGCGCTTTACCAGACCCCATCTGTGGGACATGAATGCCACAGCGGCTCTGGTGACGGGTTTGGAACAGAAAGTTAACCCCAGGTTATCAATGAGCCTAAAGAGAACGCAAAACGGGTCCACAGCGGACGTGTCTGCACAGCCGTCCTCGAAACGTCAGTCACAACAGCCACGGTGCTCCCGGCCAGCCCGCAGCTGTCACGCAGAGGCAGGCGGGACCCTCCGCACAGGCGAGGTGGCGTCCAGTGCCCCACCCCAATGGGCTGTCCCAGAGCCCTAGCCGAGGGGACCCCGTCCTGTGCTGTACACACAGAGAGTGGGGACTCAGCGTCTCCCCTGAACCCTGAGAAGCCTGGCCAGCCCCCGCCGCCAGGGTTTCCCACCCCAACGGCACAACACGCAGCCCCACAGCCGACTGGCCTCGGCCCCTGCACACGCGCGCACGTGAGAACAAGAGCAAGAGCCCACGCCCCTGGCTGTCCCATCACCTGCGAGGGCTTTGGGGAGGATCGGAGCTCACCCAGAGGGCGGGACAAACGCAGCTCTATCTGTGGTGTGAGCCTCAGAGCCCGCAGGTCATTCCACTTGTGAGTTTAGTAGGAATGTTTATTGAAAGGAAGCTCATCTTGCCCTAGCTGGTGTGGCTCAGTGGATAGAGTGTTGGCCTGCAGACTGAAGGGTCCCGGGTTCAATTCCGGTCAAGGGCACATGCCCGGGTTTCGGGCTCAATCCCCAGTGAGGGGCGTGCAGGAGGCAGCTGATCAATGATTCTCTCTCATCACTGATGTTTCTCTCTCTCTCTCTCTCTCTCTTCCTCTCTGAAATCAATAAAAAAAATTTTTTTTTAAAAAAAGGAAGCTCATTGTGAAACCTGCAGAGAGAAGATGTGGAGAGCAGCTCCCCCCACAGGCAAGCGCGTGCCAGGGGGTCTGCCCCAGCAGCAGGGCCCAGCTCAGTGTGCAGTCTGTGAGAAGGAAGAGCAGCCGATGGCGCCCCAGCCGGGCAGGGCACACACCAGGCCGGCCTGGGAGGACGGCCCAGGATGAGCAAGGACGCACAGGACGAGGCCCACAGGTCAGAACCCGGGACCGGTGGGCAGGGCAGCCTGAGCTCACGCCAGCCAGCTCTCAGGAGCCGTGGCCCTCGGAGCCTCCAACGCTGCCC